GGAGCAGTGGGCACTGACCTCCTAAGCCTCTGTCAGAAGGAAGCTTGGCGAGGTCCAGGTGATGCGGTCCTCTTGGCAGCAGGCGGCATGGGGTAGGGACTTGTCAACCACGCTCTGCAGGGCTGTGAGCACCTCCTGAGAGCACAGTGGGAACCGCTCAGCTTTAGAGAGAAACATTTACTGAGTCTGCGTACAGAAGTTGTGTGTACGCGTTATACAAATCCCAGGGAAACAATGCAAGAAGTAAAAGTCAGTCCACTGTTGTGATGTGTGTGTTTTTTTTTTTTATAGCAATAGGATTCCAGTGTATTTGTTTAATGTGCTTATAATTATATAATCATATAATATTAATCACATAATTCAGTGGGTTTTAGTGTATTCACAGAGTTGTGCAACCATCACCACAGTCAATTGAGGAACATTTTCATCACCCCAGAAAGGAAATGTCACGTTGCATAATGGTGTGAATGTACTTATGCCACTGAACTCTATGCTTAGAAATGGTTAAAATGCTAAATTCTAATTTTCCATATTAAAAAGAAAACCCCATATCCTTCAGCTGTCACACCCCACACCCCCTAAGGCCCTAAGCAGCCTCCAGTGTCCTCTGTCCTTGGCCTTGGCCAGTGCTTCCTTCTGCCCCGCTGTCCTCTGCAGGTCTCGCCCTGCAGGCTCAGTGCTGGGTTCCATGAGAGGGAGGGGACAGTGAGACCCGTGCCGTCGGGGCCTCTGCCGCTTTCCAGCACTGTGATCTGAGGAGCCATGCTTCTCCCTCACCAGGTGGACACACGGGCTGCAAGAGTATGCGCTTTGGACAGGATGCCACCCTGTATGTGGCTTCTGGGAAGGAGAGATCAGAGTTTGGGGAACAGAGGCTTGGGGTGACAGTGGGGCCGGAGCTGAGCCCTGAGGGCAGAGAAGGAGAGAGGGACTCTGTGCCGAGACACAGCAGGAGCCATACTGGAGAGAGGCAGGGACTGCAGGATGGGAGGAGGGCAGCGGAGAAGGCCCAGCAGAGGACATGGCCTCTGGAGCAACTGAACCGGGCCCCTGAGGCTGGGAAGTCCTTCCACTGCAGCCCAGCTCAGCGTGCTCTTCCTCAAGCTACAGTCGTGCTCTGTTAATACTGCCCTTGAGTGGAAGGTCCCGCAACTCAGGACCACAGACTGGGCGGATTAAAACAGTACACATTTATTCTCTCGAAGTTCTGGGGACCAGAAATCAACTCAAAGTGCAGTGGGGCGGGAAGATCTGTTGCAGGCCTCTCCAGGCTTCCCGTGGTCGCTGGGCATCCTTGGTGCTCTGTGGCTGTAGCCCCATCCCTCCACCCTCCACCTCTGTCCTTACATGCCCTTCCCCTCTCTGTGGCTCTCTGTCTCCTGTCCTCATTCAGCCTTCTTATAGGAAGGACACCAGTCATTGACTGTAGGGTCACCCTCGTTCAGCATGACTTGATTTCAATTTGATTACATCTGCAGACATCTAAAGACGGTCACCTTCAGAAGCAACAGGGGTTGAAAGAGCAGCACAACCCCACCCTCAAGACGCAGGCCTTTTATTTCTGCTGCTTTTAGAGCTGCATAAACTGAGGCACAGAAGTGAAGCAATGGCCTTGGGGAGATGTGTCCACACTCAGGTGGATTGGCCAGGAGCCCACATACAAGCCAGCAGACTGCATAGCACAGGACACAAGGGGCCCAGGAAGCCATGCCCATCACCCATGGGAGCAAAGGACTGTGTATCTTTCACCAGTGTGCATTCACCTCAGGGTGAGCTGTCTGAATTCCTGTGTAAGTTCAAAGTGTCCCTTTTGACCCCTGGAGGAAAGGCCCATAAGCCACATGTTGGGAGGTCTAAATCCATGCCCAGGTGCCCTCAAGGCCTCAACCCATCAGGATGTCTCCCACCCCTAGCAGACATTTGCAAACATTTATTGATTTCCCTGACAGTGTGCCATGCACTGTGCCAGGTGTTGAGGAAGACCTAAAGATGCACAAAGCCCCCCCAAAAAAAACCCACATGCAGGTGTTCCTTCAGGCGTGGCTTTGATGTGGAGGGTGCCTTTGTACAGTCAGGATGACAGAGGTGAGTGGCAGGGGGCTGGGGTTGGAGAGAAGAGGTCTGATTGAAAAGAAACAAGCATGAGCCTAACCCATAGCTTGTGATGCTGAAAACCCATAGTTGCCACTGTAGAAAGGTGATTGGCTGTTACACAGATCCAGTGCAGTTCCAATCAAAATACCAACAGCATACTTGACAGAACTAGAGAAAATCCTAAAATTCATATGGAGCCAGAAGAGACCCAGAATAGCAAAAGCAATTTTGGGTAACCAGAGCAAAGCAGGAGGCATAGCAATACCCGACTTCGAACTATACTACAAAGTAATAGTGATTTTAAAAAATGGCATGATACTGGAACAAAAACAGATATGTGCATCAAAAGAACAGAATTGAGGATACAGAAATTTCCCCAGACACATTCAGCTGTTTGGTCTTTGACAAAGGGACCAAAAGCATATGCTGGAGGAAGGACAGCTATTCGACAAGTAATGCTGGAAAACTGGGTATCTGTGTACAGAAGGTTGAAACTGGACCCTTTTCTCTCGCCGTATACTAAATTGAAATAAAAATGGATCAAAGATCTAAATGTTAACGCAGAAATAGTACAATAGGTAAAATAGGTAAAACACTTGAAGACATAGGTGTAGGAAAGGATTTTCGAAACAAAACCTCGATGGCACAAGAAATAACAGTAAGAATCAATAAATGGGATTATATCAGCCTAAAAAGCTTCTGTACAGCCAAAGAATCAACCAGTAGAGTGAAGAGACAACCCAAAGGATGGGAAAATTTTCTTGCCAACTGCTCCTCAGAGGACTAATATCTAGAATATACAAAATACTCAAAAAAATTAAACCACTTAAAATTAAAGGTCCACACAAGAGATGGACAAGATAAACAGACACCTCACAGAGGAAGAAATAGAAACGATCAAAAAATATTACGAAAAAATGCTCAGCATCTCTGGCCAGTAGAGAAATGCAAATTAAAGCAATGCTAAGACTCCATCTTACTCCAGAAAGAATGGCAATCATTAGGAAATTGAACAATAACAAATGCTGGCGAGGCTGTGGTGACTTAACTGCTAGTGGGAATGCAAACTAGTACAACCATTATGGAAATCAGTCTGGAGACTTCTGAAAGAACTGAAATCAGAAATTCTGCATGACCCAGTGATCCCCCTGCTAGGTATCTTCCCCAAAGAGCTTCAGTCGTCATAGTACAGCGATACGTACATACCAAAGTTTACAGCAGTACGTTTCATAATAGCTAAATCCTGGAATCAGCCTGTATACCCCTCCACAGATGATTGGATGAAGGAAATGTGGTATCTATATATAAAGGAATACTACGCCGCTTGCTATAAAGAATGACAGATTTGAGATGTGTAGGAAAATGGATGCACCTGGAAAATATAATGTGAAGTGAAAGAAACCAGACACACAAGCTAAATACGATATGGTATCTCTCATTTGAGTGAGGCAAAGTACAAAGACAATAATAAAGAAGGGATAGGAGGGGATTAGGAAGTCTCTTGCAAGAGGGAAGAAGTGGTCCAAGGGAAAAACCATGAGGGGATGAGAAAGACAGGAAGGGGAAGTGAGTAGAACAAAGATGTGCCACGTACAGAAACCTCATAACCTCAATTAATATAAACATCATATGCCATAACATGAGCTAAGAGTAATAATAGCAACAAGAATGAAAAATGGAGTAGAGCAATTGGAGGAGGAAGGAGGGAGGAGAAAGGAAGGGAAGGGGAAAGGGATTCTTTTTAAAGCTGTGGTTTGTACATGTGACCACTCCCCGAGATGACTGCAAACTGCATGAACTGCAAACACGTACCAGTAAAATAAAAAATAAAAACATTTTTTTTTAAAAAAATGATTGGTCCTTTCTATGTAGAACTGTGCTAGACCCTGGGCTATAAGACCTGGGGTTGTTCGTTTGTTTGTTCATGTGCAATCTGATGCAGCAAGAGACTCAGGGAAAATAAGTCTAACCAGGTGACATTGCTGGTTCAGAAAGGGACGGCAGGAAACACAGGGGGAGGGGAAGCAATGTCTGTGTCCTGGGATGCTCAGCCCATGTCTTGATGGCGTGGAGAGCTGCTAATTGTGGGGTAGGCCCAGGAAGCTGGGCTGGGCTTTTTAAAGCGTGCCTTACTGCTAATCCTACTAGAGGGATCCCCGAGAAAGGCCTTCCTTATCCCATTTTGCAGACAAGCATCCTCTCTGCCTCTTACTGCTATGGAAGTCGTTTGGCCCCAGCTTTCCTCAGCCACTATCTGCGCTGCCCCTTGTGCAGGGGACTGGTGATGCACCAAATGCAGGCACAAGGTGGCGCTGGGCTACCCTAGGCCACCTCTACCTGTCCCCACCACATACCATGGCCTGGAGTTTCTCAGACTTAGGTCATTTGTAGGCATTCTCCAAATACTTCTTGCATTGTACTCTAGTTAGTATTTTTCTTGAAATTCTGTTTTTAAATTTTGTGTCTAACCTATTGGGAAACTATGACCTCTTTGCTATACATAGATGAATGTAAGTTTTTTAAACATCATGTTAGCTGTTGAGACCAGTGCTTAGTATATATTAGTAAAGCATGTTGGCTCCCCACAGCTGCTCAAGTGAATGCTTAATTCTGTTCTTAGGATCTAAACTCTTCTGCCTTATTTTACCAAAAGTGACAAGTATATATGAGTTAACACCAGCTATAATGGGTAATCCCCTGAATACTTTCAAACTCCATTTTTCACTACCCAAGGTCCAGGTGGCAGCTGGCATATATAGGGTCACGTGAGTGAACACTGTTGGCAAAACCAGGACCCACACTGAACATGGAAGACACACACCACCCCTTCAGCCTTCGGGGGAACCGCCTCCCTCCCTCCCCGTCTTTGGAGGATACTCACCCTGGGCCTTTCTGTCTCTCCCCAGTATTGTACCTGGAAGGCTCGGTTCTTGTATTTGAGGACATCTTCAAACTGATCGCATTCTACTGTGTCAGTAGGTGAGTAGACCAGCCGTACAGGGGTCATGAGGAAGGTCTTCCCATGCCTGTGTTACAGGACAGGCAGAACAATGCCCACCTGCTGCCATAGATGTCTGGGGCAAATGTGGGTGCATATGGGGGTGGATGGAGGTCAAAAAGGAGTCCTCGAGGGAAGGGTGCAGCCTAGAGGATGCAGAGAGAGTCGCTTGGCTTTGCCCTGGTAATCGGATGCTTGCTTGGACTGGCTGGTAAGAGCCCCTCCCTCACCCACCTTTGCCCCCCTGGCTCAATGATGCACTCCCAGCTCTCTGTGTTACCACATCAAGGACAGCATCCTAGGTGAGCCTGGCCCAGCCACATGGCAGAACTTCCTGTAGGGGCAGCAAGAAAGGCTAGTGCCCCTTCTTCTTGGGCAGGAACTTGTGCTTATTAAGCAGCTGCTGGGTGGCACAGGCACCTGGTAACCACACCATACTGCTCCATTCATTCAGACTGGTTTTGGGTCAACAAAAATTTAAAGATACCTTTTGGTGCCATAGCAAAAGGCTTAAACTCTTGTCAAGATCAAAGGTCAAGCAGGATGTACTGGGTCCGTGATTCCAAACTGCCTCTACTGAAGCCAAGCTCGGCTTACAACCTTCACCCCCATCCTCTGGGACCCCTGGGCCCAATGGTCAGTTATGGTGTGCTGAAGATGAGTTGATGCCAACAGCTGCCGCCCTTGGAGGGCTCAGGCATTGCGAGGCTCCCTGTGCCAAGATGAGCCTGAGGGTCCAGGCTGCCTCCCTCAGAGCAGACCCTGCAGAGACTGGGCAGTAGTATGCTGATGAAGGAATGTGGGCCGGGATGTGCTGGCAGACAGGGATGCCCATGACAAGCCCCACTGACTGGGCATCAGGCTGTGTGCCTGGCACTGCCCACAGTGTGCTTTCCAACCCCTACTATAGCAATACCTCACCAGACTAGGAACTCCCAGCTTAGCATTGTGCCAGAGATCTCTGTAAGGGGCTCAGCAGAGCACCTGGCACCAAGCAGGCACCCCAGAAATGACCAGGCTGAGCTGAATAGGAACCCAGTGTTCTGACGCCCGAGCCCCGGCTGCTCCTGCACAGAGCACACTGTACTAAGACCATGGCCAACAGGATGCATGCTGCTCCCCGACAGCCTCTCCCTCCATATAGGGAGCCACGAGGCCCTCCTGATGGAAGAGGGAGGCAGGGGACCAGCAAAGGCTACAGGAAGAGAATTCTAGCCAGGGAAGACTGCAGGGGCAAAGGCCTGGCATGCCGGGCCTCAGGATATGAGAAGGATAAGATGGCTGGAAGGCCTCAAGCTCTGTGGCTGGAGCTGCAGGGACTTCCCTTCACAGGTGCTGAGAGCCAGATGGCCCTTAGCAGAGCCATGTGGCCATAGCAGCAAGGGGATTGCAGGAAGGGAGAGCAGGGGCCACTGCAGCCATCCAGAACCTACGTGCCAGCCAAGTGGGGTTCAGGCAGCCACTGCAGACAGGAGAATGGGGTTGGGGGAGACTGGGAGGTGCTGGGGCTTTTAACCTGGGCACAGGAGGATGACTGTGGCTGATCATTTCTTGAGCACGTCCCTGGTACCGGCCACTCTGCTAAGGCCCTTGCCAGGATTCAGCACGAGTCTGGGCATGGGGGTCAGTAGCCTCAAAGTGGGCGTCACTGCCCAGAATGTGGAAGGAAGGGAGGTGCCCCGGGGCCTGCCCCCCTTAGGATACACCCAGCGTTATGACTCAGCCACCACCCTCCTTGCCCAGAGGAGAGGGCTGCTCCCTGGTCCTATTCACTGCTGAAGAAAGCTCTGATCACTGTACCTGGGAGCACCTGTTTATAGCTGGTTGCTCAGGAGTGCCGATGGCCGGAAGCTTGGAACTGGCACAGTGGTGTGGTCCTGCGGTACAGAGCTCTGAACTGTGTGGAGTCTGACGCCAGCTCCAGGTAATTAGCATCAGAACTGAATCGAACTGGTGAATGCCCAGTTGGTGTCTGGAGAATTGGAGAAAGGGTTTTTGGTGTTGGAAACAGCTTCCTCCCAGGGGGTCATAAAATCAGTTTAATGGATCATGACTGGCTCTTTTTTTTTTTTTTAATGAAAAAGTAAACTTTACTAGAACACAGAGTGTGTCTTACGGAGTTGGAGTAAGTCTTGTGTTGTTAAACTTTTAGGGGCGTGTATGTGTGTGTATGTGTTGCTCCCTGACTGGATCTGACACTGAGAGCCCTTGGGCTTGGATACAGGAATCTGCATTTTAAACTGCTACCCCAGGGGATTCTGATCTAAGCAGTCTGCAGAGTAGGGACTGGTGTTGGAGAAGCAATGGAGTCACTCAAAACTGTCCACTTCCTTTCAGTGTTTGGTGTGCAGTGAGTGTTCCGGTGGCTGCCGCCACCCCAGGACCCTATCTAGAAGGCCTTCCTGGAGACCCCCAGGCTTGTCATTAGGGTGTGAATAAGCCATACATTTCATCCCATTTTTCCTGTCTTCCCCATCTTCCTACCCTGCTAAGGGTTACTCAGGCAGACTGAGTGGCCACCTGAACCCCAACTTTATCACTGAGCTGAAGGTATAAGACCCCCTGAGGCTGAGATGGGAAGAGTGGGGTGTTTGGTTGTCAGAATCAGGAAGAGCAAGCAGGTCTATCAGCTTGGGATGATTTTCATCAGTGTGTAAACTGACACAAGTTTGGGGAAGAGGGTCAGTTTGGCCAATTCTGTTATTTCTTAAAATGTATATCCCTGTGGCTCAACATGTTCACATGTGGGAATCTACCCCACGGAAATATTAATAAGAGTGATGTGATAAACTTGTTCTTTGCAGCATTATTCAGTGCAGTGGCAATTTGGAAATAGTTTTGTTTGTTGTTGGTGTTGTTGTTGTTGTTGTTGTTTGCTGAAAATGATTGGAGTCCAGGGATTAAGAGCATAACCCTGAAGCAGTAGGCCTACATTCAAGTTAGGCATTATCACTTACAAGCTGGGGGATGGAGCAAGTCACAAAGTCTCTCTGGGCCTCAGTTTGCTCAGCTCTGAAATGTGTTTAGGGAAAATACCTATTCCATGGAGCTGCCAAGAACATTTAGAAAGCTCACCTATACAAAGCACTGAGTGAGCTCTGTAGATATTAGCAAGGAAGGGAGGGAGGGAAGGAGAGGGTGAGGCAAAGGATGGAGGGAGGGAAGGAAGGAAAAGAGAGAGAAGTAGAGAAAGAGAGAGAAGAGAGGAAGGAAAGAAGGGCTTAGATATCCATCAGAAGAAGAAAAACAAGTTTGAGCCCAGCCTGGCAAGCTGCTGACATAACAAACCCCTGTTTCAAAATGAACATAATAAGGGCTGAGGATGTAGCTCAGTGTGAAAACCTTGGGCTCAACCTCCAGTACCACAAGAGAAAGAAAGAAAGGGGGAGGGAGAGAGGGAGAGAGAGAGAGAGAGAGAGAAGAGAAAAAGATGACAGTCACCACGTGGAATGCTTTGTGGCCCAGAAAGGAAAGAGGGCAGTATGCATGGACTTGTGAAGTGTTCTCTGGGCACAGCTGACTATCACGTGAAGAAAGCAGCCTGCAGAGCAATGCACACGACAAACACTGTTTTCGTAAGTGGCATGTGTGTGCCCATGTGCCTTAGTGCACAGAAAGGGGTCAGAGAGGCCACTTGCCTCCTAGAGTGTAACCGTGGGACTCTCTGAAGGGGAGGTGACCTGCACATTTTCTTTTAAACACTTCAATATTAACTCTGTTATAGTGAGTACATAGTTCTTTTCTAATTAAAAAGCTCTAGGGCTGGGATGTATGTAGCTCCATGGTAGAGCACTTGCCTAGCTTGTGGATTCCATCTGTAGCACCACACACACAAACAAATCCAATATGCCTTTTAAAAATCTAACATTTTAAAAAATGGAGATGATGGTAGTGCCAACATCATAGGGTCATTGTAAAGATTAGATGGAGTTGCATAGGTAAAGCTCTTGGTGCCCGACTGATGAAGTTCAATAAATGGTAGTTCCTTTTCTCTTAAAAAAAATTAGTATTTTATGACCCTGGTTTCCTGATTGAAGGTCTCATCTTGGCGGATGGTCTTGAGCAAGTCTCTTTGCCTTTCTGAGCCTCTGTGTCAACTGGAAAAAAGGTGTTAATGTCTTCCTGTAGGGTTGCTGTGATATAATAATTCCATGATTTGATGGAAGGCCTGTAAAGTGCCTCCCCTACAGTAGATGCTCAACAAACTAGTGGTGGCCCATGGGTAGAGTACACAACTGGAGGCTGCATGGGGAAGCAGAGACAGTTGAAACTCTGGAGCACCAGGTCATAGGGGAAGAGCTGGGGAGAATCTCAGTAGATGTGGGTGCTGCCACCAGTTCCTCTAGGACCCAGTGACAAGGGGGCTCCAGGGGTGTGCAGCAGGTGAGATGAGTCACCCCTGCTGGCTATTGTAATAGACACTTTGCTGGGGACAGGAACCCATAGGAAACCCTGGCCACAGGCCAGACAGACACCCAGGTAAACTGAGGCAACTCAGGGATGAATTTTGCCATCCCTCAAAATAAGCGATGTGGCAGTGGTGGAAAAGCTGGGTCTGAGGTCGGAGGGAAGCACTGAGAGTCTGCCCAGAATGGAGGGCTCAGGTGGCCTCGGAGTCCCAGGAGAATCACACAGGTAACCAAAGGTCAGCTGGCAGCCCAACCCATGTGACAGTAGAGGAGCCAAGGCCACAGCCCGGAACTTCAAAACCTTGAAGGGTCCAGAATCTTGTGGCACAGCCCCACTCCCATCCTGCTCGTCCTTCCCTCATAAAAGCCCGTCCCTTGGGCAGGTGCACCGGTGCTGGGGATCTCCGCGGTCTCTCTGCTTTAGTTCTGTCGGGATGGGTCCACTTAGCAAATACTCTGAGTCTCCACGGTGTGAACTGCACACACTGCTGGCGCTGGGCACATGCAACAATGCCCCACCCCTGCCAAGAGTCACCAGGGTGCCCAGCCCGGGGAACAGGGAGAGGAAGAGACAGGGAGAAGAGTGATGACACCGAGATGGATGGGATTTCGGTGCTTGGAATGGAGCTGTGGGCAGACAGGGCATGAATCGGGAGGTGGAGCTGGGCACCACAGCAGCTGCCTCCTATGGATGCCACTGTCATGGTCCCCTCGGTCCTATCATTGAGTCCCAGATTGCTCAGGGGACAGAGCGATTGGAAGGGGCCTCAGCAGGCCTTGAATGCCTGGACCACTCACTCTGCCCCAGACCCAGCGTGCAGCCTGGACATGTCCCTTCCCTTCTCTGGACCTCAGTTCCCCCCACTGGTCTGAACTGCTTCTGGGGATCTCCGGAGGGAGCCCTGAGCAGGTCCCCATTCAGATGGCGGGTGTCAGAGGGCACGAAGGATGGATCACTTGCTTTACCCTGAACAGCACCCTGGAGGAGGCCTGGGCCCAGCGGGCCAGGAAGAGCAGGGAGAAGTGAGACCCTGCCCCACTCCTGGGCTCTCCCCCGTCTCTGCGCCCCTGGATCTGCCTGGAAGGTCCCTCAGCCTCCACCCTGTCCTCGACTCCAGGAACATTGCCAGGGCTCAGCACACCCCAGCAGCCATGGGACACGGGGCTCTCTCTTATCGGCGGCAGGTTTGGGTGCACAGACTGGGGAAGGGGCACCTCAGACCCCTCCCCAGACCTGACCTGTGACCCCTCCTGTCTTTGCAGAGACCTGCTGCCCTTCACACTTCGGCTGCCCCAGGCCATCCTCGAGGCCAGCAGCTTCACAGACCTCGAGACCATCTCCAACCTGGGCCTAGGTAAGTCCTCCCTGCAGGAGCAGACGGAACCCAAGGGCAGAGGGAGGGGCCCTTGGGCTGAGACCAAGTGGATCCTTGGTCCCCACAGCTGTGGGAGGAACTGCTCCCAGCCCAGGCTGCTGAGCACCATAGCAGGGAGATTCACTGCTTTCCAGACAGCTGCCCAGGAGTCCCTGATGCACAGCCTCTTTGTCACAAGGAGGTGGCTGGCTCGGGGCCAGAGAGGCTGAACATATGAGGCCGTGACTCTGGGAGAAGCTGGGCCAGCACCAGGGCCCTTTTGAGTGGTGGTCAGAGTCAGCCCAGCATCTGCCTGCCCCGGCCTGTTCCCAGCCAATCCACGTCAGAGGGAAAAGCAGCGTGGACGTGATCATGATTGGAGCTGGCCCCTCTCCCCCTTGGCTTGCCCCCGTCCACCAACTGACCCTAAGCTCATCCCCCTCCTGACGCCTTGGAGCTTTTGAAGGACTTGGAGCAGAGGGGAAAAGGAGCAAGAAGAGGGACCAGCCACTTCTGATCCTGAGCCCTCCGAAGAATCCTAAGCAGAGCTCAGGCGTCTTGGGCTCTTCCCGCACTTGGGCCACAGTGCACACTGTACAGGGTTGGAATGGGCCAGTGCTGAGCTAGGACTAGAGCCTCACAGTCCTGGCCCTGGGGAAACCAAGATCTCCAAGCCCATGGCTAGAGGAACTGGCTAATTGCCTCTGTCCGTATGTTGGGGAACAGAAAATTTACTATGGGCGGCGGGAGGGCATCTGCTTCAGCAGCCTCTGCAGGCTTCAGTCCCCAGAGCCTCAGTGCCTGGGCCATGTTTATGAACAAAGTAGGTCGTTCCTAAATCTTTAAGACACCTCGACACCTGTGGCTGAGCACATGCCTGTAGCACGGTGGTGAGTCGAAGAGGCGATGGCTGAGGAGCAGAGCCAGGACATGGGGGAAGTCAGGGGCAGACCTGGGGCCAGGAACGCCCTCTTGGCTCCCAGGCCAGGCTGCTCCCCATACTCAGAGCTCAGAGGGGCTTCTGGACAGCAGTGCAGGAGATGCTGAAGGCAACCAGAGGTCATGGGCAGGAAGGAGAGCAGGGTTCGGGCCCTGGGAGTTGACACTCAATGAACATCAACTGTGTCTTAACCTCTTTAGCTGTGTTGACTCATCCCAGGCTTAACCCTGTAATGTAGGAACTATCATTATAATCCACATCGTATGGCAGAAGAAGCACAGGACTGCAACATGTCCAGTGTCACAGTCTGTGCCAGAGCTGGGATTTGAACCCTGGCTGTTTAGCCCCAGCACCTACCAAGTCTCACTGAAGTCTTTAACCAGAGTCTGCTAGGCTAATGTACTAAGTTTATAAACCTCGGTTGACATTGAGGATAAGCACTGAACGTCACGCACCAGCCCTCCCCACACCCGATATTGTAACTGCTGGACATTTAGCCTCCCAGGAGCTTAGATGTGGGACAGGTGACAGTTTTATCATTTGCACAGTCCACACACTTCCTGGGGTCTCAGATGACATGGTTGATGCCTTTTGACCACTGCAGAGCACTGGTTTATGTAATCCTTGCATATTCTAAAGACAGAATATATATTTGTGAGACAGAAAAGCTAAGAACCTTGTTCCAAGTACCTCCGACAGAAAGGAATAAAGCTGGGATTTGCACTGAGGCATCTGCCTCTCCCTTGCCCTGTGGTGATACCTCATGTCCTTCCCCGTTGTTTTTGCAGCAGTGGCTACTTTGAAGGCCAAGTCAGTTGGACAGCAGAGATGCAAGGCCTCCATCAGGGTTAGTTGCTGCTCCCCTTACCCCGAGTGGGGCTCAGGCAGGTTCCCCTGGCAGTCCCTGCCCAGGGCTCCCTGCAGTTTCCTGTCACTGGAGGAGCCTGACTGCCCCACGACCTAGGAGCACGCTGGGTGTGAAACAAGCAGGCTCTCTTGGGGGACTCACATTCCTGTCTGGAATAGCAGAACTGCACCATGCGGGGCTCAGCCTCAGGTTCAGTGTGGTCGTGGAGAAGGGTCAGGCCATGTGGGAAACCAAGGGCTGTTCATACTCACCTGTCTGGCACTCGCTCCCTCGAGAAAGGAACTTATGTGCCCCCTGAGTATGCTGCAGCATAGGAACTGGAGTGTTCTCTTCAGACCTGATGTCCTCAAGTGTCAAGGACACAGAGCCAGGGACACCAGATTCGTTTTTCCCTGGAACCCAGGAAAGACTGACTTTCCAGTCCATCTCTAAATGGATGGAGACTCAGGCTGAAGAAGCAAACCCTTTCGGGGGGCCAGAGGGCTGCCCCTGCCCTGGCCCATGCAGGCATGAGCCTCACCTGCAGGAGTAATGAAAAATATGAAAAGGGTGGCATCTTCCAGAGGCCTGGGCTCCCCACCCATTGTGCCCTACACATCATTACTCCAACCAGGGTACTCTCTTGGCAGGGAACCCAAACCCACTCAAACTACATGGATAAAAAGAAGGAAAGGATGCTGGGGAATCTCTGGGAAGTGCAGTTGGAAGGTTCCCTCGGCCTTGCACATGCCAGCCCCTCGCCCGCTCTGGTGCCTGACCCTGACTCAGCCCAGCGCCACCTGGCCCCTACTCTCCACTTTGGTTCACCAGGGAGAATCTGGATGAGCACTCGCCAGTCTGGTGATGCAAAGTGGAGAAGTATCCCTGGCAGATGTTCCTCTGGCATTGTCAGCATTACCAGGAAAACCAAAAGGACAGTAGGAGGCAAATGCGTTGACAGAGGTGCACACAGACACTGTTTCATTTATCTGCACAAAACCGATTTTACTGTGAGGCCATGGAAACTCATGGAGTCTAAAGATCTTACTCTGCTAGAAGCAGATGTGAAGCCCTGACACCTCATTTCCACACAGATGAACCTGGGAAGCGTGATGCTCGGAGGAAGAAGCCAGACCTAAAGGCACAGTCTGCTTCCATCTGTGTGAAGCATTCAGAATAGGCAGCCCGAGACAGAAGGGATGTTAACAATTGCCAGGGGATGGGCCTAGGGTTCTTTGCTAATGGATATGGTTCTTTGGGGGTGATTTGAAAGCCCCCAAAGAATTGATTGTCATGACAGTTGCACAACTCCGTGAATATACTAAAAACCACTGGGGTATTTTTCAATGGGTGAATTATGTGAATGATATTTCAGTAGTTGTTGGAGAGAAGGGAATCAAGTAAAGGAAGGGCTTTCTGCACGAGGACATAACAGAAGCTGCATTCACACTTGGGACTTTCTGAGTTTGAACTCAGTGCTCTTTGTCTGTACCCACTGCCACCTGACCCTCAGCCAGTTTTGCTCACCCCTTCTCATTCCTCAGCTCTTTCTTCCCTACGCCTGCGTCCAGTGGAAAACAACATGGTCCCCACATCCCAAGGGAGCCTGGATTTGGAGTTGGGATAGGGAGGACAGTGAACCCTTCCCTCTGCATTGTCCCCTGCGTGTGCTTCTGGTTTTCTTTCTTTCTTTCTTTTTTCTTTTATAAAGGCCCAGTAGATTGAGTATGTCTGCTTTTTAACTGACAAGATCAGAAAAGGAGGAGGATTAAAACCATGCATAACCCCTCAGCTGCTGCAGAAATACAGTTTGTCTCTTGCCTTTTGGTTTTATTTTGCTGGAATATGCTTGTGGCTTTCAGTTTTTTTCCCCCTCACACCAAGAGTCAAGGAGTGCTTGGTTAAAGGTAAAGATGTACTGGATTTTCATCCCCCCTGGAAACCTTGCAGTTATAATATGTTTTTGAGAACTATGTGTTTCTTATCCTTAGTGCCAGCAACTTTATTTCTCTGGCACTCTGCTCATATTTTTTTTTTTTTATGAGTGGAATGAACCCTGCTGTTTAGACAGGAATGATATGGCTGAAACAGAGCTGCTCGCTGGCAGCTCAGCACCGTGGGATGTCTTGGAATGTCGGTTCCTGAGCGGGAGTGAGCAACTTCAAATCTAGACAGGGACAAGCCCGCACCCCACAGTGCAGGCTATGTAAGGTGTAATCTTGGACTCCAAGGAGGGCACGTTACTTGGGACCACAAGGCTAACACGAGGAGTATTCAGCACTGATCTTTCATGCAGTTGATTCTAAGTGCAAAAGGAACTTAGAGAATAAGGGTTGTTGGCAGTGCTCCTCAAACACGTCTGCAGTATGTATACGTGTAATATTTTTTAAATATGTTGAAGAAAAGCATATGTTGTATAGCTGTTCCAAGCCTGCATGTGGCTTGCTTTCTCCTTTACATCATACAATGAGAATTTTTCTAGTTATTAAAGATTCACTGAAACATGACTGTCCAATAGCCCATCTTTGAGATATCTCAGAAATATGCATTCCCGGAAGTGACTGGACTTTTGAGCTGTTGCCATGGCATCTGGAGTGCTTTGCTGCACAGAGGCAGCAAGGGTACATGCCCTCTTCTTCCTCCTCCTTCTCCTCCTCCCCCTTCCTCTCCTCTTCCTCCTGCTTCTTTTTTATGTGCGTGGTGCTGGGGGGGGGGGGTGAGGATTAAACCCAGGGCCTTCACACTGAGCTATATCCCCTGCCCGTTTTTTATTTTGACACAGGGCCTAAGTCACTAACTTGCCCAAACTGGGGTCAAACTCGAGACCCTCTGTCTTAGCCTCCAGCCACCACACCTAACAGGGACAGGCCCTTCTTTACGGGAACCTTATCAGCTGAGACAAGTCTTGGCATGGTGCCATGGGCACTGGTACCCACAGCCTTGCCAGCCACTAGGATTGCATGACACTGTGTTCTGCTTCTCTAGCCTTGGTCCTCTGCAGACTGCAGAGAAAGTTATCTGCTTCCTTTTTTTTCTTTTCTTTTTTTTTTAGCATACAGCCCTGACTACCACTATGGTTCCCTAACAGGGACCCAGACGCAGTGCACCTTCCCCTCCCTTCAGAGCAGCATTGGCCTGGGCCTGTGTCCTGCCACCTGGCCTGTCTCGGGAGGGCAGCAGCATCCTGGGCCCTGAGCCCATTTCCCTGAAGCCCAGTGTCTGCTCTGCTCCTGGTGCAATCCAAGTGGTGAAAAGTTGCTCCCTCTGCACCTGACTGACTGGCCCTGCTGTCCTGGGGCAGCCATCCAGACGCAGTGCATTCACTGACGGAGCTCCTCGGACTCCTGTTGCCTCCTCCTCAGACCACACCCAGCTTGCAGTAGGAGCCGCGCCCTTGCCTGCTTCCCCTCCCCTAGAGCCCTGGCTCCACTCTGGGTGAGCGAATCCCCTTGGGGCTGGCGCTAGACTCCTTCTCTGTACCAAGCACTGTCTTGGGATCTAGAGACCCGCAGACGGAGGAGCCATTGGTGCTGCCTTCTGGAAGGGCAGAGCCTGGTAGGGAAGTCAGACAACAGCAGAGCATTGCAGTCCCAATGCTGGTCACTAGAGTGAGGGTGTGCACCAGAGCTGGGGGGCATGGAGGAGCAGAGGTGAGGCCTGGATGCATCAGAAAACCTGTACCAAATAGGTAATGTGCGACCCAAGTCTTGAAGGATGAGTAAGTGCTTGCAGGCAGACACGTTGGAAAAAATTCCAAGCAATAGGAAGAGCTTTTGCCTGGATGTAAAAGTAGAACAGCACAGGAAGAAGAGAGCAACCAACAGAGTGGGGTGAAGAGTCAGTAGGTGATTCCAGAAAAAGATATTCACGGTCAGAGCCCATAGGCCTTGAATAATCCAGGAAACAGTAATGGGAGTTTCTAAGCTCTAGTGGACAGTTCTGGACATCATCAACTCCACAACTTCCACCTCCACACAAAAGAAGAGTCTCGTTGGAACCTAGGGGTGAGGATCCTTGCTAGGAAATCTTGCACTTACAGAGGTGTGGACGCAGCACTTCCACTACTCACTCCATGGCCAGAGCATCCATGTGCTCGGTGCAAGGCAGCCAAGAGAGTGAGTTGGTCACGGAGGAGTCAGTAGCTGCCCAAGAAAGCAAAGCCAGGGACCCGATCTGTCACAAAGAGTAGCTCATGGGAGACCTTGCTGTGGACACACCATGTCCAGTAACTGTGTTGTGTGTGGAGCTTCGCATGTTGGAGAGAGACACACAAAGCTTTGTCTTGTTATTGTGGTCACAGCTGGGCCTTCTCAGCTGGCTTCCAGGCACAGGATCTCTGCCCAGGGCTGGGTGAATGGTGAACGCCACTCTCCTTCCTGGTAAGGGGTGCATACAGCTGGGTGAGTCACAGCCAACTTTCTGTCTTGGGATTGCACCCCACTTACCTTCCTTCTGTGGGTTTGTGACCCCTGGCCAACAAGGAGGCCACTGCCCATATCCTTGAGATTGCCCCTCTCTTAAAGCCGGCACACTCTGCTGCCCCCCACCATCCTGTGAAACTTCCTTTGTTTCAACATCAAGAGCCTGTTGTTCTCTTACCACATCCCCACTCGGGGTCAAGCCACCGCCGGGATGGGAAGTGTCACGAGTCCCTCAGAAGGAAGCCACACCACATGGTGGTTGAAGGTAGGGGCTTTAGGACAAGCGTGACCCTGTTCCAACCCCAGCTCCCCCACTCATTAACTCTGTGACCTCAGGTGAAGGCTTCCATATCTCTGGGTCTCATTTCTGCAAGATGAGGACAAGGCCGAGGATCCTGGAACAGTGAGGTAGTCCAGGTGGAGCCGGTGATCCACGGGCTGGCACCTGGCCGAAACTTTCCCAATGTTCCTGCTGTTACTTGCTGCTGAGACCCCCCGCCCTCCGGGGAGGAGGCTGACCCCACCACTCATGAGGAAGTCTGCTCTGCCTGGTTCATCTCCTTTCCAGTCCTCAACTTAGCGGGGTGAATAGGACCTGCTCAAGTGGCTGTGGGTCTGCTGAGATTATTCCCATGATGTCATGTCCCTGCGGCTTTTTGGGAGCTGGGTCCTGAGATTCATGGTTGCTTGATGGGGTGTGGTACCCAGAGGTCAAGAATTCCTGAACCAAGCCTGCCTTGGTGGCTACAGCCACTGACTGAGTCATGAGACGTGGTCGGTAGCTGTCAGTGGTGGACACAAACATCAGGACCCACCAAAGTCGGGTCAGTTTGCAGTGGACAGGCACTCCTGAGGTGACAGTCGGGTCCAACCCCGCTGGCCACAGACCATAGGTTTTTCTTTCCTGCAGGTAACAACTGCAGTGGCCAAAAGAGGTCAAAGCCCCTTCCTCGATACAATAGTGTTCCTCCTCTGACCCCTCTGATGTGGGTACCAGTTCGACCTTATTTTCGAGATGACTAAACTGAGGCCCGGAAGAGTCAGGCAACCTGGCCTGAGCACCTGGCTGGGCAGCCACAGGGCCTCCAGGCCTCCCGTCCCCTCTGTCCCTGCCATGCCTCCCCTGCACGTGCCTCCTGATGCTCATTTGACTCAACACAGTCGCTGTCACCCCACTCTGGGTCCCTGGTGCCCTCCATGGTGGGCTGTCACACTGAGGGACAAAACTGAAGCTGAGCCTGTCATGTTCCTGAGCAGCCCCACCTAGCTGTTGGGGAGGAGGGCCTGGGGCTTCCCCTCCGAGGGAGGCAGGAAGTGGTGGGAGAGGCTTAGGAGCCCGAGAGGGGAAAACAACTCTGTACAGTGAAACAAAGGCTCCGAGCGGCCTCCCAGGCCGCCCACGCTGCCCACACTGCCCACCCTGAGGACTGACCGCCCTCCCACTCTGCTTTCCACAGGCTTCTGGGACTCCTCACTGAACTCCCCACGAGGACGTGGCCGCCCACCCGAGCCCCCGAAAGACCCAGCCCCTGGGGGCCCTGTGACTTCCAGCCTCGGGTCCACCGCCCATGACGAAAACTGTTCCTGCGAAATCGAGCTGTCGGTAGGAAGCGAGCGCCTGTGGTTTGTGAACCCTATTGTCATCGAGGCCTGTGGAGGCGCCCTGCCCGCTGACCTGTGGCCGCCCGGCAGCTGCCTCTCCCGCCCTGAGCCTGCCACCTCCGACGCTGCTACCTCACCCGCCTCCAGGTGGGCCCCCCGCCGCCCGCCGCCCCTGCCCCCAGCGCCCTCCCCAGCCCGGGCCCCTGTGCTCCCTGCTCCTGCTTGTCCCCTGCCCAGCAGCCCCCCAGTCTCGGCCCCCCACCTCCCACCCCATGTCCCAGGCCCCACAGACCATCCAAACCAGCCACCCATGACAGCCTGCGAGAGGCTCCCACACCCCACTGCAGGCCTGGGCGCCTTCAGGGAGCAAGAGATGAAGCCGCAGACGGCCCCCAGCCCCTTGCAAGCGAGCGCTGGCCCTCCAATGCCCACAAAGAAGAGCCTTCCGGCCGTGCCTCCCAGGCGACGCATCTCTGAGAAGCTGTCCCTGGAAGACCAGAGAGCGGGGATGGTGGCTGAAGGGGACCAGCCAGGCCTTTCCAGGGCGACTCTGCTCACCCTGCCTCCACAGGGGGCCTCGAGAAGCCCTGGGGACAGTCCTCAGAGGACCTCAGAGCAAGGCCAGGAAGCAGAGGCCAAAGCCAGTGATCTAGGCAGCACGCCAGACCCTCCCAGGAAGACCAGGCAACCCCCAGTCCCGCCCCCAAGGAAAAAACGGATCTCCCCACAAATGCCTTCCCTCCTCTCAAGTCCCCCGGAGAGTGCCAAGCCCCCCACAAAGGAGGTAACCTCTGAGAAACCCACACCTGGTGCACCCAGAGAAGGCCAGGCCGCTGCCCTCCAGGCTGGGACTCCACACCTCCACGCCCAGCCCAGCACCTGTGCCCAGAGCTCTCCAGACTTCAAGGGCTCCCTGGCCTCCCTCTCGGAGAGCCTGGGAGTGCCCTCCTCCGCCATGGACCAGGACTCCTACTCAACCAGCAGTGCAGAGGAGGAGCTGGATTTCAGCAGCCCCAATGTGAAAAAGAAGCCATCGATGATCTTGGACAAGGCACGCCACCGGCTGAGCTTTGCCAACTTTACCAATGTCTTCCACGCCTTCCTCTCCAACAACCGCAAGCTGTACAAGAAGGTGGTGGAGCTGGCGCAGGATAAGGGCTCGTACTTTGGCAGCCTGGTGCAGGACTACAAGGTGTACAGCCTGGAGATGATGGCACGCCAGACCTCCAGCACAGAAATGCTGCAGGAGATCCGCACCATGATGACCCAGCTCAAGAGCTACCTGCTGCAGAGCACCGAACTCAAGGCCCTGGTGGACCCTGCCCTGCGCACAGAGGAGGAGCTCGGTCAGTACCTGCCAGGGTGGGGATGAGAGGGAGGGAAGAGTGAGGGGCATAGACTTAGGAGCCCCTATGGGTGACACAGTTGGTGCCCCACCCTCACTGCTCTCCCATCCTCAACACCCCACAGCCATCGCTTCCTACCAGGGGGCACGAAGGCTAGCCCCATCCCCCTACGCCCATCCTTGCTGCACTCCACTTCTCTATTCCTTCCTTCTGTTCCCCAGTACATCACATGAACCCAAATCCTTTCCTAGGCAGCCACCCTAAGCCAGCTCACTGCTCTAACTCCTCTCTCAAGCAGCCCCCAGCATTCCCACCATGCCCGCCTCTAACCCAATAACTAGCAAACTTTTTTGAGTTTGTGATTCATAGTGAGATCTATATTGTACACTGCAAACAACTGCACACCTGCATAAATATGTAAAATAGCCAGACATGGTGATGCATGCCTGTAATCCCAGTTACTCAGGAGGCTAAGGCAAGAGGATCTCAAGTTCAAGGCCAGCCTGGGCAACTTATCGAGACTCTGTCTCAAGATAAAAAATAAAAAGGTATGGCGGTGTGTAGACCAGTGGTAGAGTACCGCTTAGTTCAAGCCCTGGTACCACATGCACACATGCACGCACAAATCACACTTCCGTGGCTAAAGCTGTTGTTAAAACATGGAACTGCTGATGGACTACCTAGTTAGTAACAGTCCCTCTCCACGCCCCCCAAGTGGCACTTTCTCGGGGTCCCCCAGCTCTCTCTTCCCATCTCCAGTAAGTAAAGGTTAGTGCTGGGGACAAGGAGGGACACGTGGGACTCTGCAACATAGTCAGTTCATTGTGTTTCTTGCAAAAAGAGCAACAAATGTTGTCTTCACAAGGAGAGGAGACTGTCAGGCCACAGGATTGATGGGCGCTGTGGGTGTGGGGCTGGGTGGTGGGGCTGAGGTCAGAGGCCAGCAGCTGCCTCCCTGGCTGCCATGTGCATCTGCACAGGGTTCTAGGAGGGGAGGGTTCTCTGGGAAGGAAGCTCGGGGGCAGCATGGGCAAGGGCTACCCACAGCAGCCTGAGATTTATCTCATAACTGGGGGCCAAGTCAGAGCAACACAGGCCTTGGAGCTCTCCCTGGGGAACGCTAGGTCCCATCGTTGAGCAGAGAGTTTAGAGAGTTATGAGCCACCCAGCTCTGCACCAGACACAGTCTCCATGCTGGAAAAACAGAGGGGAGAAAACCTGCGCCTGCCCCCTGAGCTTGCCTTTGAGACTGGTGACAGGCGGTCAGCAGGAAACTTGAGGAAGGCATCCAGTGAAGTGATGCTGTAGGGGACACGACAGGAAGTGAGGTCAGGAGGCACCTGGGGAGGTGGGTCACCAGGACCTGCAGGCCACCCTGGGGACGTGGCTTTCCTGCAAGCAATTTTCCTGCTGTGGCAGGTTCAAGTCCAAAAGTGACTGTCTCACCCGTGCAGGCATCACTCTAGCTGTGAGGATGAGTGGGAGCAGAGACGTGCTCTGAAGCCACTGTCCCTCTCTGGTCATACAGTGAGGGTGGCAGGTTCAGGCAGAGGCAAAGCGGGTGGGACAGGGAGCTCGGATTCTGGTCTGCCCTCAAGGTGGGCCACGGGACTGGTGGACTTTGGGTGTGGGGGTATGTTGGGTCCCTAGGAGCTGCAGCTCTTGCTCCCTGAGGTGGGCACTGGAGAAAAGTCCTCGGGCTCAGATTTGGACATGTGACCTTGGAGACGCTTACCAGACACCCGAGTGAGGGTGTGGAGTAAGCTGCTGAGATCTGAGTCTGCACTGGGGTGCAGTGTAGGCCTCAGACATTTGGGAGCTGTCAGCACAAAAAGAGCCATGAGACTGGGTGAGATCAGCCCTGGCAGGATGGAGCCCCTGGCAGCTTGCAGACCTGGAGGGCATGGAAGGGCGTGGAGGCTTGGAGAGGCTCACGAGGCCAGAGGGGGCTGAGCTGAGGAGAGACTGGGCCTGGGCTTTCCTCTGGGCAGAGACAGCAGTGTGGATGCTGGCAGAGAGGTGGGTGCTGTGGTGAGAGGATCATGGGCCATTCCCGAGGCTGAGTCAGGCAGAGGATCTGGCCTGGAGTCAGTGAGGCTTGGAAGGGTACGTGGAGGGCGCAGAAGAGGGGACCAAGCAGGGAGATGAGTCAGGGAACTGACTGATAAAGGAGCTGAGTGCCAGCCAGACCATTGCCAGAAACAGCCAGAGACCTGAGCCCCAGGGTGGCCAGCTGGGGACAGCGACTCACCACAGGGTATCTGCAAAGGGCAACTGTCTCAGGTACCAGGAGGCCAGCAGGTACTAGATGTGGCGTCTGCCTGACACAACAGTGCACAGTGTCCCCAGAGCCTGCCCTGGAGCCTCAGGCAGAGAGAGGGAACGAGACTGAGCAGCAGCAGCAGGGCCAGGAGCGTTCCAGACACCGCACACCTCAGCCTTACGACTGGAGCCAAACCGAGCAGCTGGGCCACTGCTGTACCCAGATGTCACAGCTCACAGGTTCAGTGACCAAGCAAGAGGACATGGAGCCAGCAGCAGAGCTGATCCAGACCAGGGAGTGGCCCATCCACGAGCATCTGCTCTGCTGCTCTGCCCCTCCACGCCGAGTGAGACCCTAAGCCACATGAGGCACCTGCCTTTGGTGTTAGGGTGAAAGGTGGAAGGAGCAGTTAAGACCCAGTCCCTGCACCTGTCCGAGGTCGCAGAGGACAGCATCTGGAGAGGGAGCATCTGCAGGAGAGCCAGGGCTCTCAGATGTGAGGGCCTGGGGACAAGCACAGCTGTGTCGTCACAGAGTGGGACACGGCCTGGAATGGGAAGGAATGCAGTAAGGTCACACAGGAGCCCGGGCAGTGGGCAGCAAGGTCACTCCCCAGTCTGGGCTCTGAGAATCCTCCCGATGGAGGGGAGGAGGGGGTTGGCAAGACAGGGGCCCTGGAGAGCCAGGACGGACAGCCAGACCCAGACAAGAGCAACCCCGTGCAGGAAGGGCTGTCCAGGCCGCTGCTGAGGGTGGGATGTGAGACTCGGCATGAGTCTCCCTGAGGACAGCGCGGCCCAGGCGTCCTCCACAGGGACAGGATTGGATCATCACTGTGGTGCCCAGCGATGTGAGTCCAGGTCCTTGTTTGGCCTCCACCCCACCTGAGCCTCGTTTCTGTGGGCAGGGGAACCCTGTACAGTAAAGGACACATTGCTGTGGCCCCTGCAGAAGCCCCTCCTTGCTTCCAACGCACTCTTCCCATCGTTCTTGCCACTTTCTGAAGCCGTTCTGGGAGTCCTCTTTCATGAGTGTCTTTGCGAGGTGTGATAAAAAGTAATGTGGATGCTGCTGCTGAGCGCCATCCAGCAGAAAGGCAGCTTTGTAAAAACATGACTCCGTGTCCTCATCCACCTTTTTTATCGGCACCAGGTAACTTCTGGCTCTTCCCCAAAGTCAAAATGACCATAAAAGGGAAACATTTTAAATTGATTCAGGACATCGAGGCAGCCATGACAGCACAACTAAAGCCACTCGTGAAACAGGACTTCAGACCTGCTTCAGAAAGCAGCAAGATAATAAGATAAGCATGTTCCAAATGAGGAGGAGTACTTTTAGGGGGATCAATGGCCATATGTATTTTACTGTAATAATTTTTTTAATTTGAACATTCACCATATTTTCAGTCACACCCTGTAGAGTTATTGTGAGATCAGAGTTCATTAATGCCCACTCCCCAAGTTGATCAGGACTGCTTGGTGAATCAGATAACATTTGAATGGCAAAGGGCAAGCCCATGGGGCTGCAGCAGGTACAAAGGCCCTGAGGCAGGAGCAGCCTGGCAGAGAGGAGGAGCAGCATGAGCACAGGGAGCAAGCAGAGCTCCAGTGAAAGGGCCTGCAAGGCCATGGGAGAGACTTTGGCTTTGATTTGACTGCACTGTGTATTGGTTAGTTTTCCTGGCACTAGGACAAAATACCTGATATCCACAGCTTATGGAAGAAAGGTTTGTTGGGCTCATGGTGCCAGAGGTTTCAGTGCATGGCTGGCTGGCTCCAGGGCAGGACCATCGGGGCAGAGGAAGGTTGCATTCAAACACGTAACAGGGGCCAGAGGCTACTGACATAGCCCAGACAAGCAGTGTTGGGGTGGCCTGGGCAGCCCGGGTCAGGGCTCTGGGCGTGGAAGTGATGAGAATCTGGGTATGCTCTATTTTTGAGACGAGTCAAGCAGATGTGGGTCTTGAAAGAGATGTCAAGAATAAACCCACCAGGCCAGGGATTTAGCTCAGTGGTTTTGCCGCCTGCTGGGCAAGTGCAAGGACCCGAGTTCGATCTCCGGCACAAAAAAAAAAAAAAAAGAATAAATCCACCAGTCATTTATCGGGCATCCAGGCCCTCAGCATACAGCTGGCCAGGTTGTCCACTGCACAACTCCAGTGTGGCCGGTGTGCACTGCACTGCTAAGCAGCCCTGTGGGTTCACTCCATGCCAGGCCCTGTGAACAGCACCGAGATATAAGGCCCAGTTACTGCAGCTGCCCAGGGTGCCTGTGCCCGTTTGTCTGCAGTGTGGATCTGTCGGACCCACACAGGATCCATGTGTCAGGCCTGCCGGGGCTGAGTGTGCCCCGCAGGGAGCAGGACAGGAGGCTGCACTGCTGGGCCCCTGCCGCTGACAGCCTCTCCTTGCTCTGCCCGCCCACAGAAGCCATTGTGGAGTCGGCCCTCTACAAGTGCGTCCTGAAGCCCCTGAAGGAAGCCATCAACTCGAGCCTGCACGAGCTCCACAGCAGGGACGGCTCCCTGCGGCAGCTCAGAGAGAACCAGCAGGTGGTCCTGGCCACCACCACCACCGATCTGGGAGTGACCACCAGCGTGCCCGAGGTGCCAGTCATGGAGAAGATCCTGCAGAAGCTGGCCAGCATGCACAAGGCCTACTCGCCCGAGAAGAAAATATCCATCCTGCTCAAGACCTGCAAGCTCATCTACGACTCCATGGCACTTGGCAACCCAGGTAGAGGGCTCCCTGGCTGCAGGGTGGGCCGGCTCCCTCTGTCCTGGCCCCTCTCCCGGCTTCCGGCTGCGGAACCCCAGTCTGCACACAGCGATCTGTGTGTGTGTCTGTGACCAGATTTCCCCTTTTCATGAGGACATTGGTCATGGCAGGCTAGGGGCTTTCCCTGCTCCAGTATGACCTCACGGCCAGTCACATCTGCAGTGACCCCATTTCCAAATAAGGTCCCATTCTTGGGTGCTGGGAGTTTGTTCTTGGGCTTGGCCTCAGCTGGGCTCCCGTGTCTGTGGTGAGCTGGGGCCGGCTGAGCTGGCTGACTGAGGGTGGCCACACTCAGGGCAGCGACTGGCAGTGGCTCCTCCCCCTGCATCAGGTTAGCCCGGGCTTGTGCCCAGCAGAGCACAGCCAGGCCTGCTGAGACCTGGCCTGGACTGCCCTTCTCCAAGGGAGGAGTGAACCCCACTCCTCAGATGGCCACAGCCGCACGTGCAGGGCAAGGCCCTGAGGACATTTCACACAAGTTGTTTCCATATTCTCAGTGACTGGGAATGGGCCGTAGGCATCTTCGTTTCCCTGCCTCAGGGTCCCCAACTGTAAAATGGGGCTGAGAACACCTCTGGAGGCTCTTATGAGGAGGCCAAGTGTGTGTGAGTACTCAGATGTTAGGGTCCCACCATCCCTGATCTGTGGGGGGCACAGAGCACTCAGTGGTTCCCAGCTGGGTTTCTCCAGGCACCCAGAGCCGCCAAAGGGACACCAGGCAACAGGCCCAGAGCCATCCTCGCCGCCGCCAGCCCCGCGGGACCTGTTTTACACACAGGGTTCTGCATGGGATTTTGTTTGAAATAAATAGTGCTCTATTTTTTAAGTCTTTCAGATAATTTCAAAGAGCCCAAGAATAGAAGCAGGGCGTTGAATCAGGCACGCCGGCATACTCTTGCGAATTGTTACCATCTTACCCCATCTGCTTTCTCTCTCGGTGCACACATACTTCTTGCCTGAATCATAGAAGAGATATGTTACATGCTCTGGGCCCTTTGCCCCTAGACGCTTTCCTGAGTGCGCCATGGAATGTCTGGGAGCACGAAGCCTGCATGCCCCTGTACCGCCACTCCGGAGCTGTCCATTCCAGAAGTTTCCACTGTTTTTTATCTAAGCTGTCAGGTGGTCTCCTGGTTGAGTAAGGTCCTTGTTAGCAGCCCCTCTCCAGGCCGGGACCGAGCCAAGGGCCAGATACTCCCTGTAGCAGGCATGCGTGTGCGTGTTTCACCTCCTTTAATTTGGAGTATTCGCACAGCCCGTCTCTGTCGTTCATAACATTAGCAGTTTTGAGATTGAAATGCAGACTTCCTTCCCCACCCCCTGCTTTTTCCTTTACGAGAAAGTTCCCCATTTTGTGTTCGTCAGATGTTTCTTCATGATTAGATTGAGGTTATGCATTCTAGGCCACATCCCCATTGACTCGTATTCTCCTCTGACTTTGAGATTGGGTGATTTTAGGACAAGGCCCCAGGCCCTGGACCCGTAGCTGTCTCCTGTGGGGTGTTCCCAGTGGCTTGTGCCATCTGTAGCCTTGTGGACTCCAAATGGGGTCCAGAGACCAGCAATCCTGCACTGAAGGCCAAGGAGCCCTTAGGGACCCTCGGGGAGGCAGAGCTCCAGTCTGTGTCCTCCACCCAGAAAACAGCCCCTCCCAAGCCTACCACCACCACTGCCCACCTGCCCGGGGCTACCTCTGGCCTTCCAGGAACCAGGCCCCCTGCCTGCCTCTCCTGTGGCCTTGATGCTGTAACAACAGATTGGTGCAGTTCTTGTGTGCCCCACTGAAAACAAGAATAAAATTCGGCCTGCCTACAGGTGAAACCTGTAGAAGAGCATAAGTGGGTGAACTTGGAAGCACAAGATCTGAGTTCCCCGGCCGCACTGTCCTTTCCAGCAGGAGAGCTGCAACTGTGCCTGGTACCCCAACCCCACATCACCTCACCCTGTGCCTCTGCTTTTCTTCCAGCCAGCCTCGAATTTCACGATGGCAGTTGACTCCATTTCCCACTAAGGCGAGTGTAGAGTGCTGGGTCAGACAGGTTGGGGAGTTTGCAGAGGCAGAAAGCCTGGGATAAACCTGGCCCTCCATCTGTACCCAGGAGCAGGCCCAGCTCCTGTGGGTTCATGAGGCTTGGTGAGAGCAGTGAGGCTTCTAGATTCCCCTCTTTTTACTTTGGCCAGCAAGTGATTCCCACCTCTTTGATGACTAAGGCCAGACACTGAAAAGCAGGAGAAATAGATCCAAGCCCAGGAATCCTCTGAGGGGTGATGAGATACAGGGTCAGATCTTCTAATGAAGATAAATGGCAGGAGATACCAAGGTGTTGAGGCACACAGGCTGCCCTGGTGCCTTCAGTAATCTGATGCCAAAGGACTTCCGGAGATGCCACCCAGCTCTCGCCCTGGGACATGGAGTGCACATGGCCAGGTGGCTAGATGTGGGGCCAGCGGGCTGGTGATGGGGCCCGGGTCCCTTGACATCCACCTCCCAGGAGAGCATGAAGTCCAGAGTTTGTGGCTGGTCCAGGCAGGGCTAGGGCTGGGAAACTGGATGGGAGGAAGGTTCTGATTCGGAACCCAGGGGCCTTAGGACATTGACTGAGGGTGAAGAAGCCAGAGAGAAGGTCAGGCTGTTGATTTTTTTAAATCTATGCTAAAAAAAAAAAACTAAAATGACTTGTGATGACAAAGGTTGTTCGTGTTTATTGCTGAAAAATTGATCAGTGGTAGTGTTTTGGAGAATTTCTAGTCTCAAATGATACATAGGTAGGTAGGTACATGATAGATAGATAATTAACTAAGGAAATACTGGCTGCTGTAACATCTAAACTCTATTATATCTAACTCAGAAGTTTATTTCTCACTTATGTAAGTTCAGTTGAATTGGGGGCTACCAATTGTCATGTAGAGATCCATGTGGAGAGAGGCAATTTAGGTGCCCCGGGCATTGACGCCTGGTGACACAGAGACCTCACTTTCCACCCCACAGCACAGCTGGAGTTGAGCCCCTCTGCGATGTCATGCACTAAGGTTCTTAGGACACGTTGCCCTCCTGACCTTCATAATGATCAGGTCTTACACCACCCACAGCCCGGGCACCCAGCAGGCAGCATGCTAAGCACACGCCATCTTTTCCTTACACCCTAACAACCACTCCATGGCAGGTGGATGTCACTGTGCTCCCTATTTCCAAGGAAACTGAGTCGCAGTGCAGTCAGCATGGTCAGGGCCACTCTGAGCAGCTGAGCGGTAGAGCAGGTCTGGAACCCCGGCCTGCATCCCCAGCCATCCTCCATGGGGCACCAGCGGTCAGAGATGGCCTCAGAAAAGACAGGCCTAAGTCATGGTTTCTGCACCCTGCAGCCTGATGCTTCTCAGAGCCAGTCTGGGAGGCTGTAGCTGCCTGGCTGCCTCCATAGTGGGCTGAGCTCCCTGAAGAGGAAGCCTGGGAGTTGGGATGATGCCAGGCAGATGCAGTGTTGCTCAGGGCAGAAGTTGGACTTAACCAGTGTCTCTGCAAAGGGCAAGCCACCGAGCACGGGCTCAGGAGCTCAGCAGGAAGGCGGGCTGGCTCCATGGCTCACCCCACCCACAGAGCGTAGAGGTCACCACCTGCCCACCAGTCCTTCTCCCCAGGCCCTCGGTCACTCAGCCAGCAGCTGGAAGTCTAACCTAAACCGGTAATGTTCAAACTGGATCGAGGGAATTGTCTAGAGGCCCGGACAGAGCTGGGAGTGGCCCTGAGGGTGCCATCAGGGAACAGGAGAGGAACTGGGCATCCAGTCCTGCCGCCCCCACCCTGGCCAGCCAGAGAAGCTGACATGCGTGAGCTGCCCCTCCGAGAAAGGCCAGTTCAAATTCCACTGCATTGGAAAGTTTCAACTTCTGCCCTCTTATGCTTTCATCAATAAATTCATCCAACATTGCAAAACCATCTGTTGACAGTAGAGATGTGAACAGAAAAACCCTGGAAGACCAGTCCCGGTCTTTAAGATGTCCCCAAATCAAGCAAGCAGGGTAAGGGTCTGGGTGTCGAAGCCAGGTGCTTCCTGGCCCAGCCCTCAGGGAAGGCCTCTCTGAGTAAACACACTCATTTTTCCACTCTTCAGCGACAGGACCCCGGGTGCCCATTATAAGGGCCTCAGACCTGGTTGGTGGGGTGTTCAGGAAGAAAGCAAGCTGCTGTCAGCAGCAGTCATGGCAGAGAGCAAAGATCAAAGCACATCACCGTTGTGAGCCTTGTGTGCCTCAGGATCACTGCACCAGCCACCTGCTCCCGGAAAGAGCCCATGGGGACAACTGGGGCGATGGTAGTTAAAAAAGGATAAATCCTTTTTCTAGATCAGGGGGTCTGTAAATCATAGCCCCCCCCCCACCAACTCTGGCCTGCCACCTGCTTTTATATATTTATTGTTATTGAAACATAGTTGCATCTATCCATATACAGTATCTAGGGTTGCTATGTTACAGTGGACCCCTGAACGGTGGCGGCAGACACCGAATGTCCTGGAAAACTAAAGATATTTATCATCTGGTCTGGCACAGAAAAAAGTTTGCTAATCTCTCTTTAAATAATGCTTCCTGAATGACCAGACTTCCTTTCAGCTGTGCATTTGATGCTCACAACAGCCTTAAAAACAGTTATTCCCAGTTTTCAGGTGGGAAAAGTGAGACTCACTTTTCAATCTTCAATTGTACAACTCACCAGGCAGCAGTTAGGGCCCTCCAGATCCTCACAGTCTTCGTGATCCCAGAGAACACCCTTGGGCTCATTCTTGTCTGAAACAGAGCTTTCCCTCTCTGAAGGCCCCTGACTGCTCTGTACAGCTTAGTGTGAGCAGCTCCCCATACTACAGATGGCAAGGCAGATGGAACTTGGCAGAAAAGAAAGCAGAAATCACCAGGAAACAGAGGTTGCAGCCAGCAGGGCTTTGGGATGCAGAGCCAGGCAGGTGTGAGCTCTGATCCATGCCAGACAGATGTTCGGATCTCCAGAAATTTGTTTTGCTGCTGTGCCAGCATCCCAATGCCGCTGCCTGGGGCCCTCTGTACACAGGCAGAGCCAGGAACCAGGGCTCCCAGCTTCCTGGAAGAAGAACGCAGCCCTTGCTACACAGAGAGCACACTTCAGCCACGCCTGATGCTTGCATAGGTCCGTGAGCACTATCGGGTCACAGGGCCTTGTGCATGCTTCTTACCTACAGAAGGAGAAGATCCAGGTTTCTAGCCCCAGCTCTGCAAGCGACTAGCTGTACACTTGCAGCCCTGAGCCTCAGCTGCCCTGCAGTGTGATCGGACCTGTTACTTCTGAGGCCATCAGTGCACTGAAATTGGCTGCTCTACCAGTTCTGGAGAGCCAACTGTTACAACTCAGACACTGGCAAACACAGCAAGTCAGCCTTCGTTTTGTTTTTCCTTCAGAGAGCCATTTGAGAAGCTGCTCCCAGCACACCGGCAGAACCAGCATCTGTGGCCATGACCCTGAGCCCAGGCAGACAGGATGGGGCCCAGTGAGAACATGCATGGGGCTCTGCTCAGTCCAGTCAGCATCCTACATCCCAGCCTTGTGCCAGGGCATGAAAAAGATGGGACAGAGGCGCAGAGAGGTCTAGTGACTCAGGACAGCTCACACAGCCCCATCTCTGCGTCTCAGAGCTCGAAGTGTGAGGGAAGGGGCGGGCTCTGAAACAGTGCAGTCACTGAGGAGCTGGAGCAGGATTTGGGAGAAAGAAGAGTTGGTGACAGCAAGATAGGGAAGGTGTCCCAGGCCTCAAGGCCACAGAGGGCGAGAGAGACTCAGCACCGTGAAATGTGACCCGGGAGGGTAATGGAGGCATGGTCCTGAGGTGGAAGTTGGGGAGCAGAGTGAGCACCAGGACTGGGGCAGGCCGGGTGGAGGCAGGCCAGAAGGTGCGTTTCCTGGGACTGCAGGTGAGTTAAAGGTGGATCCAAGTAGGTCCTAGCTCATCACATTCTTGCCATGTGACCTTGGGCAAGTAGCTTAACTTCTCTGAATCTCACTTCCCTCCTCCATAAGAGAACACAGTGGACTGAACTCACCTCCAGAGTCGCTGTAAGAATTCATCGATATGATGCTCACAGAATCTGCTTTGCCTTTTAAAGTGTCACACAAATGCGGCTGTCTGAGGGTGAGGTCAGATTGCAGCGAAGGTAAGGAAGGGATTGGCCAGGCAGGTGGGTGTGGCAGACTCCAGGGGCAGGGACACAGGTGACCTGCTCGGAGGCCACTGGCTGCATGGTTTGGCAGGAGCTGGCAGGGTGAATCATCAGTGAGTGGTCTCCGGGCACACTCCTGGAAGCCTGGCCTTGACTGTAGCAGTGGGGAGCCACTGATGGTTCTTGGGAAGGGACAGGGCACACTCAGACCTTCCCTCTAAGGAAGGAAGCTGCTGGGCAGGTTGGGGGTGGGGCTGGAAAAAGCAATAGACGAGTGCAGGAAGTGGTCAGATGGGGGATTCCCAAGTGGGACATAGGGCCCCGGGGAGCAGGGAGGACCCCAGCCTTCCATCTTGGGACTGAGAGGGCTGCCGCCAAGGAGGAAAGGTCCCTGGGGACTGAGTCAGAGCTCCTCACTTATGTGTTCATTCACTCACCTGGAACTACTTCCTGTGCCCTTGTCACGTGCCAGGCTGTGTATGCAGAGATAGAGGCCAGGTGCCAGCAGGTGATTGGGGAAGACGTGGGATCTGAACATCCTCTGGCGGGAACCAAGGAGATGGGCCCCAAATTCCTGCCTTGGGGATCAGCAGGGATTCCTCCAGGGGAGCAGCAGGGATTCCTCCAGGGGAGCATGGAGTGAAGAAAAAAGAGGACAAAGAACTTTTTGTCCCCTGTCGCACCACATGGCCCAGCCTCCAAGCCCCTGAGCCTGGCCCCAGTCTGGACCATCCTGAGAGTCCTGACCCCTCGGGCAGGGCTGCTCCCCTTGGCACTGTGGGTGTCTGAGGCTCTGTGAGCTTTGGCAGGGGCTGCCCTGTGCCTGGGGGACCTTTTGAAGCACCCTTCCTCCTCCCCTGGGAGGCAGAGCCACCCTAGCTGAGCCACTTCCTGGCAGCCAAATAGCTTGCTGGACTGCATTCCTTGGGCAGCTATACAATAGTAAGAAAAAAATCCGTTCATGGAGGTGGAGTGCAGATTGCTTGAGCTCTAAGGCAAGGCGTGAGTTGTAAGTGAACCCTTCAGGCCCGGTTCTGGTACAGAGCCGCACCATCGGGCTCAGCCCTGTTCCCTAACTATCAATCAAAGAAGAAAATGTAAATCTCCATGTGCCAGGATTTAATAATTAAGCTATCCATGTGAACAATTCCAAACATGAAATGACATTTCCCCAGGAGCCCCTAAGGCTCATAAAGATGCCAGGAAACTCCTCAGAATGAATTCTGCACAGGGAGGGCCCCAAAGCCAGGGAAGCTAATGGGCTGAGGCTACGGAGCTCAGGAAGAAGAGGAGAGGGTCGTCTTTAGGAGGGGTTTTCACTAGAGCATGGCAGGGCACTCTTTGAAATCCTGTCATAGTATTCTCACCGACACCCCATGTTATCTGTGTCTGGAAATGCAGGCTCAGAGAGGTAAAGCAAGCATGCAAAGGTCACACAGCTGGTAGGCTGTGCATTGAGACCTACCCTCCAGGTCTGACTGACTCTGCTTTTCAGTGCCACGAGTTGCCAACCCCTTCAGCCTGTTTATCTTACAGGTGGAAAACCTGAGCCACCCGAGAAAGCAGAACACAGATACCAGTAATAGTTCTTTCTGTAGCCCTTTACAGCTGCTGCCTCAACTTCATAATCTTTTTCTCATCATATTCTCTCAAAAGGCCATCAGAGCCGATGTTGCTGGTCCCAGTTTGCAGATACAGAAACGGAGAGTGGCCAGCAGGGCACGAAACAGGGCACGATGTTCTCTGGAAAGCTAGACAGAGGGGCAGGCTGGTTAGTAAGAGGGCTTTGGTGAATGCATGAGCAGGTGTGCAGCAGCTGCTCTGGCCACTACCCAGGTGTGCTTCCAACTGCTGTTGGCAGCTTGTGTTCTGGAGAAGTTAGGCTGCAGTTTAGAGTGCTGGTGACACACCCACATAGCACAGTGACTTACATAAAACTGAACATTTTTCATGGCTTGCTCTGGTACAAGCTGACAAGATACCTCTCCTCTCCAAGGTCCTCAGAGACCCAGGCTTCTCTCACCTTCTTGCTCCACCATGCTTGAGCTTTTCTTTATCCACATGTTCCTCCCCCTCAGGAACGTGACCCGGAAGTTGAATGTGGTATTTCCCTCGAGTCTCATTAAGTAAAACTTAGATATATGGTTGACCTAGCTGCAAGGGAAGCTGAGAAATGTAGTATTTATTTATTTATTCATTCATTCATTCATTCATTTATTTGGGGAGGGTACCGGGGATCAAACTCGGGACCTTGCGCTTGCAAGGCACATAGCAGCACCACTGAGCTAAATTCCCGGCCCCTTTAGTCTTTATTTTTGGAGGCCATGTTCCACCTAAGTCAGAGGTTCTGTTACTATGAAAATAGAAACTGAACAAGGTAGAGGAGGCAAAGAGGCAAGGTTCTCTTTGGCCAGTTGTCCATGACCTTGAAATCACAGTCCCTGGCTTGGCTGTTGGCCTTAGCTTGGGAGGGTCCTGAGGGCAACAACCAGCTATGACTCCCTCCACCTCCACATGTGCAGGGCCCACACTAGTGCCTACTACAATGGCTGGCAATTGCCCAGTGCTCTTTTTGTGCCACCCTGCCCTGAGAGCCACCTGCAGGGCCAGGATTTGGGTGCAGTGAGACTGTCACTTTCAGGACACAATGTAAGGGGTGCCCTAAAATCTCAGTAACCAAGATACATTTGTATGTATGCATATATACATTTTTTTAAATTCAGTGGTTTTTAGTATAGGCACAATATTCTAATTTTCCTAATATTCTAATTTTGAACATGTTCATCACCCCCAAAAGAAACTCTGTCCCCACTAGCCGTCACTATCCATTCCCACCTCCCACCATCCCCTGGCACCACCAACCTGCTTTCTGTCTCTCTAGATTTGCTTATTCTGGACATTTTCTATAAAGAGAGTCATGCAATGTGTGGTCTTCTGTGGCTGGCTTCTGTTGGAAGATAACATTTCCATGGTATCATCACATCCTGACACGCATCACTAGTTTTTTCCTGTGTGTGACCTAGTGGCATCCCATTGTACACATAGACCCCTTTGTCTGCATTTACCAGGTGATGAACATTTGGGCTATTCCCACTTGTTGGCCATCATAGAGAGTGCTGCTGGGAACTGTACACAAGTGGAAAAATGTCTTCCTTCTCTCCGGTATATAATTTAGGGGGGAATCTGAGGTCATATGGCAAAATAAGTACTACTTTAATGTAATATTTTTAAACATAAAAATTCCTATACAAATCCATGATGAGCAAGATACCAACATTTTAAATAAATACAGGGAACATTGTACAATAGGAGTGATCACTGCTAACCAGCCTGTGGCTTCCAGGCCCTGACGTGTTTATGAGTGCTAATGACAGTGGCGGACAGATTAACACCGGGTTTTACATGCAGCGGGTTTTTTACATTGTAGAGCATTTGTTAATTTTTTTTCCACCTGCTTCTACATATGGGAGGATATTTGGATAAATATCTACAGAAGACATGGACATGGGGCTATAATTCCAGTACCCAAGGAGGCCAAGGCAGGAAGACTGCAAGTTCAAGTCCTGCCTGTGCAATTTAGCAACTTAGCAAGACCTTGTTTCAAATAAGGGCTGGGATGTGGCTCAGTTGTAGAGCACCCCAGAGTTCAATCCCCAGCACTACCAAAAAATCTACAGAAGCACACTTTTTCCTTTTGTCTCAGGCCTCCATATGTCAACATGGCACTTGCTGCCTGTGTCATTTCACTTAACCCCTGGCACCTTATTCTCCAACCTCTCTGCCAAGGTTAGAGGAGAAAAGGGACCTCCCCTGGCCCACACCCTGTGAATGGAGGAGTTGGGATTTGAACCCAGGCCTACGGCAGAGCCCCAGCCTCTCACCCTGTGTGGCTCAGGAATTCAGAATTTGGCTGGCCACGGGACAGTCAGTGAGCTCTGAGCAAAACATGGCCTACTTCATCTAATTGTCATGAGGATCAAGGAGAAGGTGCATCTTAACTATGAAGCCTGCTCTCCCCAAGGGCTCGCCCTGGGCCACAGCCATGACAAGCACTGAGGGAAACATCCCCTGGTGTGCCTAGGAACTTGCCGGTCATACCTCAGGTCCCCTACGTGTGAAAATTTTTATATCTAAGAGTTAAAAAAATAATCTGGCTGCTCCAACACACAGATGCTTCTCCTGGACCATGAGGAGAATGGAGCTGATCGTGTTTCCTTTTTCACTTTGGCCACGAGGAAACTCAAAGCTAAATTTGTTACTCTGAAGGAGCAGTTGTGTAGGTTCTTGCTTATTTGTGTTTTTATTTTTCATATAATACTGTTCCTCTTGTAATTTATACTTGTCCTGATGCTTACTCTTTTTTTTTTTTTTTT